GGTGGGTGTTGGGAATGGGGAGCCCCCCGGGTTTGGGGACTGGGGTGGGCACTCAGCTCCCAGACCAACTTTGACATGAGATAGAGGGGACATGTGTGTGGGAAGCTGCTGAAGGGGCAACCGCGGATGGGGCTGGTTTCACACCCGTGTTTATGGGTGTTCGGCTTTTGGCAGGGCTGGTTAAGTGTCTCCATCTTAGCCCCATGTTTTTTCATTTGTCATTTTTCTTTAATGTGTGAAAGCTAAATTTTCCCAGGTGACGTTATGTATGTTTCTACACATTGTGTGAATTTTCTGGGCCTTCTGTTGCTGTTTCTTTTGCCCTGATAGATTTAAATCGTCCACAGTAAAAGAATGCATCCATGCAATACTGAAGGAGAAGCTGGCCAATGTACAGTACATCCCAGAAGAAATGCCTCAGCTTACAAAGTCCTTATCAGAGATAATAAAAGACAGACTGAAAGGTAAGGAAGTTTGCCAGGGAAGTAATTTCTTTTTTTACTGTGTCCTCTTGTTTTGACAAAATCCCTCTTTCCTCCTTTATTCTTGAAATCTATTTCTTCCATGTTGCCTGACTCAAGTCTACCGTTATGAAACATTCTGGCCTATATACATACGTTCCTCGCCTGTGGAACTAGAAACCTAATTCAAGCAGACAAAATTTGTTTTCATATAGTCTGGCTGGTGTGGGATGTCAGCCTTGGAGGAGCTGCAGGGGGAAAGAAGCTGCATTAGAGAGAAAGAAGTAGTGATGCTTCATTGCTTCTTGCTTCAATCAACAGAAACATTCCTGGGGTTTTTCTGCAGGGAGAAATAGCAGGAATAGCAGGGAGATCAGAACAAGGCCTAGTGGGAGCAGTGAAGGAGGGGAGAGTTAGGAGCACAGTCAGCCAAGGAGGCGTGTGACTACAGCCTTACGGCACTGGAAAAAGGTTGTGGTGGTGCTACACAGGATGCTCTCCAACATTTTTGAGTGCAAGAACTAAACTTCAGGCTCCAGCAGGTGTTTCCTGTGTTCAGTGCTGGAACAAGTACATAGATGTATGTTGGCAAGGTCACTTTTTTTTTTTTTGCCTTCTTCTGGGGAGAGGCTGGTGCTCCATCTGCTGGGCTGGCCTGACACGCTGACACAGACATACCTTGGCAGGAACCGTGAATTTATGCTTCTCCCAGAGTTACATGTCTGCTTTAAAACCAACAGCAGCTGTCGTCCCAGCACGTGTTGATGCCAAGCTAATATGCACAGGGTTGGCTTCAGTAATCTGTAAGCATGCTAACAGTAGCCTGAAGCGGTGTGGCCATTGTATCAGCTGGCATCTCTGATAAGCATTCATGTGGTGGATGTTACCACACCCAGCATGTTGTGTTCAATCCTCCAGTGGAAACTGTGCCAGAGTCTTCTCAGGACACTGCTGTGTTGAAGACAGGCTTTAGGATATATATTTTTATTTTAAACATGCTTGTTCTGATTTGGCTTCTGGAACATTGCCATGATTGGATCTGGCCTGTGCCCAAAAGGTATTTCTTTACTATTGTAAGACAATTGTATATCTTTGCAGACACATAATGTAGACCCACATATGCTTTTATGTGGCCTTTTATCCCCCCTCAGAAGCAAAGGAAATACCCATGTGGCAGAAGAATCTGCACAACAATACCTTTGCATCAGAACAGTTTTAAAATAAACTTTTTTTTTTCCCCGCCAAATTGGATTTTGTCCACCAGCAGCCTTGTTTACATTCTTTCTATGTGTTCAGTTCTTGAAAGTTGCCAAAGTAGAATGCTGACATATGGTGTTCAGGGATGTCTTCTTAGATGCATCTTTTGATGGATGCCAAATACCTTGTTCACCTTTTAACTCCGATGAGACCATGGTACTCTGTACCTAGGAAAATGAAGCACAAGGCAGTCTCTCCACTTTGCCAATTGCATGGACTTGTACAGGACACTTGCTTTGTAACCAGAAATCTCTAGTTTTCTGGGTCCTGTATGGGCTCACATTTTAAACAAGTTGTGGCTCTCACTATGATTTTTTTCTCTCTCCAGAGGAGGGATTTGACAGGTACAAAATGGTGGTGCAGGTTGTGATTGGAGAGCAGAGAGGAGAAGGAGTGAAGTAAGTTTTGTGTCTTCTAATTGTATTTCTATAATTTTTGATGGGTTTGGGTGTTGCTTTTTCTTTCCTTGGAAGCTGCTTCCAACTTTCCTAGAAACAAAGATCTCTCTGCAGATGATAAAGTCTAAAGCACTTTCTTTTCTCTTTAAGAGGCAAGTGAGGGCTTGGATTGTAGCTGATTGAATTACCCGTGATAATTGGCTATATGGTGGTTCTTAGCAAGCTGAAAAGCATTTGTGAGGAGTGCTACAGAAAGCCATTTTACATTGTATGCATGATCAACTAGAGCACACAGCCAGTCCATTCTCAACGCCCACTGGAGCACAAGAGCCATGGTAACTCACTTCTGTCTAAAGCCAGATTTCCATAAGTACTTAATATGCATTTAGTACCCCCAGGTAAGCATTTTTGGGAAGTTCAAATTTCTGTAATCCCCATGCAATACTGTCATGGGAATCACCTAGACTGTGGGTGCTGAGCACTTGCAGTCTAGCTCCAGATGCCCGCAACCAGACAAAAGAATTCCTCTTGGCTGCAGCAGCGAGCTGTAGCTTTCCATTACTCGTGAGTAGGGAGAAGACAAAAGAGAACAGCCCACAAGGTTCATGTGCTTTATCTGCTGGGCTTATCTTTATTATTGTGCCTGGTACTCCACCATAAGATAAGTGCAGCAGAGCTGACAGCTCTGCTGCCTCAATGTTCTGGAGGTCAGGAAGGAATATCTGTACCTGCTGCTCAGGCTTTTGTCAGGAATGTCTGTCTGCAGGCTGATTTGGAACGTGAAACCCAGCAACGCAGACTGACAGAGCAATTGCGGAAATTCTCTGGTTTGCAATAGGTAGGAGGCAAGATTGCTAACATCCTTAATGCAAAATCCAGGGTGTTCCAGAGGCAGAGTGGAATATTGGACTGGAGAGGAAAAAAAAAAAAAAGCAGAATAACCCTGAGGGCTAAGGAAATAGAAGAAAAAAAGGATGAAATTCAACAATCTTGTAACAATGTCATACATGTAGAGACTAGGAACAACACGCTGTGCCGCAAACAAGGATCCTGTCAGCTGAGACTCTGGAGCAGGCAGGGAACTGGGCATTTGCAGCAGAGAAAGAGGAGTGCTAATGACGTTAGGCAAGGCAGCAGCGAGGTCTCATCTGTAATATCCTGTTATGGTCCAGTTGCTTGTCTTCAGGGTAAGACTTGGACTGAAGGAGGTGTAGAAAAAGGCCATCAGGATGGTGAGGGAACAGAAAGTATAGATATGAAAGGACTTAGCTCATGGTCTAGTAACATGACGTCTGCTAAGGAATATGATAGCTCCCTATAAATAAGTTGGGACTGTGTACCATGAGGGTGCAGGAGGTGAAGGATAAGAACAAATAAGCTAAATTAGCCACCGATACACATAGGCCAGAAGTCAAAGATTCTTAAGCACCATAGCAATGAGGTTTCAAGCCCTGCTGCCCGTGGAGGTGGCAGGGTTGATAGCTGATGAGTTTGAAGATGGAGCTTGATCCACATACAGAGAAGGTTACAGCGTGTGGTGGAATTCAGCAGTGAGGATCTAGGCACAGGATTGGGGAGAAAGCTTCCCATTTCCTTTATCTTTAAAGGAAGCTCAGTTTGCTTTTCAAGGAAAGTACCTGTGATCACTTAGGTCCTTACACGTGAACTTTGTGGGTAATGGCTCCGCTCTGTCTCCTTTGTCTAGTATGGCTGCGCGATGTTTCTGGGATGCCGACACTGACAGCTATGCTCACGATGTATTCATGAATGTAAGTATCGGCTGTTTTACCATGGGAAAGTGTAAAGCTACTTGCTTTTGTGTGAGAGGCAAAGTGACCTTAAGTATGGAGCAGAAAAAAAACCACCCCAACCACTAGAAGGAAGGAACCAGGCCTCTATTGAAACACTATGATTTATGGCCTCATTCACAAAAAATACTTAGATATAATATCAAGCATAGTAAAACTTATTTTCTGAGTAGGTCATACAGCACTGTACAAAAGTCATTATAGTCACTCCATTTTACAAGTGGGGAGAGGAAGCACAAGAGATAAAGTCTTTTCTTATATGCTTTGGTGAACTGCTATCATGGACTATGGCTGGAATCCAGGACTGAGCAAAAGTCAAGGTTTTATTTCATTTTTATTTTATTTTAAACTGACACCTAGACACCTGCGGGTGTATGGATGGAGTAAATCGAGGCACTTCTGGCATTCAGACACACTGACCTAGGTTACACCACAAGTGAGGTGAATAAGAAACTAACTAAAAGACAGAAAATTGCAATATATTGCAAGATAAGGAATGCTCTGGTCTAAGTGTTCCCTTAGGTTAGCCTTTTCAGTCAGACTAGCAAAGCACTTGCCTTTACTAACGCAGAGCCTCTCTGTTTTCCCCAGGACAGCCTGTTTTGTGTGGTAGCTGCGTTTGGCTGCTTCTACTATTGAAGAAGGTAAACATTGCAGAGAAGAACAGAGATGGGGGAGAAAGCTTTAGGGTGTTTTTTTGTTAAAATGCACAAAAGCATCATGTTCTTCCTTTAGTACCTAACACAGTAACAGCTCTACAAAGCATGTCCTACACCTGTTCTACACACTACAACATTCCTTCTTCCTTGTGGATATCAATAGAGCTTTAAGCACAATATTATTATGTCCTTTATTTAAATCACCCTTTGTTTTTATATGGTGTGTTAATTTTGTCCTAAAGAAGTGTATTGCCGGTAGACATTGTTTCTCAAGCAAACTCAGCTTTCATCTTGAAAGGGTACTGTTGCTTTTATTTTTGTTAATTTTCTGAAATGAATGAAATATTTATAAGAAATGTAACATAATAAATCTATTTAATATTTCCTCTCCTGTGGGTTGACCCGTGCCATTTCTACTGTTTGTCTTTTTCCTTCACTCTGCAAGACACGCAAGCCTTGATTGCTTGTCTGTGCTTCTCAGATGAGCATTTTCTGAGGGTACTTTGTAAATTAACCCATAAAGCCAACCTCATATTCTGGTTATCCAGATTTGTTTCTGTGACTCCCATAAAATTTGGGCTGCGAATCCCAGCTAAGTGTCACACAGATAACATTAGCTGGTAGGAAAACAAGATATTTAGGACATCAGGTCAGGCCAGCAGCCTGCACACCCCACTGACTGCCAAAACTCCCCCCTGCTGTAACTCCTCATTGGTTTGGTGCAATTTGGCACCCGTGGACACTGTGAGTAATCACTGCTCGTTGCCCTCTTCAGCAGATCCTGCAGTGCTTTCTCAATCTTTGCCTCTGTAATTGTTTTGGGATATGACAGCGGATGTTTGGAGAACAAATTTGTTAGGAGTCTAGCCTCGGAAAGGAGCAGTAGGAAAGACTGCCGTAGATCAGAAAAGGAGTGCTAAAGTCTCTCATCTCCCTCAAAGTTAAGGGACCGGGTTTGTTCCTGAGAGATTGGGTGCCACCAGAGCGCATCTCGGGCACCCATTGGAAGATGGGATGAGTTCCTGGGCAGTGATGCCTGTTCTCTCCATGCTGACCAAGGACTAAACACAGCTGAACAATTTCAGTGGTGTGAAGGGCTTTTAGAGTGCTCAAGTTGGGTGAGGTGAATGCTGAATTCCCCCCACCTAGAGTAGAACTCACTCTGGCCATGCAACTCTTGGAAAGTGGGGACGTAACAAATTACGATGCATCTTCTAGAATCACTCTTTTGGCTACAATCCTGGAGGCAGCACGCTCTTGTTTCTCTATTATGTTGGTTTGAAAGTGCCTTCCTCTCATTTTCCTCTGGTGGGAAATAGAGGGTGACTTCCCTGATAGCTTTTTCGCTACCTGTGGCTGTCGCTCGTTAAGGGAGCCGCACAGAGGATGCGATGGCACCGTGCGGTTTGTGCATGGACCTGGGAGCACAAGTTTTGGGGAACAGTGAAACCCTCTGCATAAAGACACTTGCCAGGAGATAGTATATGCCTTCAGACTCATTTTGACACTTACATCACGATGATTCAATCACAATTTTTCACTTTGCACTTGCTCTGTTTTGGAGGCTTTTGGCAGCTGCTTCAGAAAGGCATGGTACAAAGCAGGTTTGAGTCTGTGATTGTTCAGTTCTAGCCACCCGTGCTGTGTTTTCCCCGGAGAACTATCAGCTGCTGAAGCAGGACAGGCCCGGGATTCCTGCACCGCCACCGTGAG